GTCCCATTTAATGCAGTATCTAAAATATATGCTTTATGCATGTCGCATGTACATGTATAGACTGATGTTAATGTTATTAGGGTTTTTTACTGTCTATATATATAGGTATCGTCCACAGAAGGGAGAAGTCAGCCACCAAAGAAGTAATTCCAAAAGATAAAGCTGTCTTCTAGTTGAAAGCGTCGAGAAAGATTCAACTGTTTCCGGTAAAGGTATGAATACAGTTCTTTCGTGTCCCATATATTCCTTTTGTAGTAACTTGGAAAGCATCTACGAGTAATAAATGTAATCATTTGTCTTAAATGCATAATAAATGCTGCTGTTGTGATTTTCTGGAGTTATTGATATTGATATTTAAGAACTTGGAGTGTTAATGTTGATCTGAACAAAACTTTGTTTGCGCAGATGGTTGGGCAGCTGGTTATGCTAGTTCGTGGTGTGTGGGAGAAAACTGAGGTCCCTTGGAGTTTTCAGGTGGATCATCAAGGAGAGAGTTTCGGCATCATGGTTCAAGAAAACGGAAGCTTCGATGGAATAATGAACAGTGTTCAGACTAGATATCAGGTGGATGCGGCGACCGAGGTGGCTCTGACCTACCAGTTTCCTGACTGGATGTTGGTGCCGAGTGGACCCCCAACACCACCGATCGACATCATGAGCAACGCTGATGTGGAGGTTTTCATGGCCGTGAATATGGAAGTTGCAGAGTTGCCAATGTTTGTTACTATTGGTACGGAGATTGTTAATCTCTACAAATTTCAGAAGAGATCTACCTACGCAGTTGGAGGACCGTTGAGGCAGCTTAACGTTCCAACTCTTGACATACAGTTTGGAACATTGGATTACAGAGGTAACAAAAGTTCGATAGTTGGCCGGGTTTGGGAAGCAATTTGAAAGAACTGAGTAGTGTTTTTTTTTTTGCGCAGGAATGTTCCCGAGAGAGTTCATACCATGCAGCCACAATATATTGCAAGAACTGTGCACTCCCGAGGAGTTGAGGAAACTGGAGGAGGACTCGGCAGTGCTTGAGGCACAGATAGAGGCAAGAGGAACTAACAAAGTGACAGCAGCACGCATACCCGGAGCAATTGAGGGTCAGTCCTCAGCTGGTTCAAGCACGAATCCGAGAGGGGAAGGTTCTCCAGTGGAGGGGGTCATCAGGCGGACCGGTGAAGAGGACACGGAGATGGGCCCAGGTAGTTTTGACGCCGCATTAGCGAACTTGGCGTTAATGACTCCAGTTAAAGGTTAGATTGTGTTTGAGCAGTTATGAAAAAGTAGAGAAGTCCGCAGTGAACTTTAACTATAGCTTTGTTTGCAGGGATATCAGGAGTACCCGTTGGAAACGTGAGGCCAACCGCGCTTAATTTTAGTGGGGAGAAAGGAAAAGGAAAGGACATCGATGAGGGTCTGGAAACTGGGTATAATCTGGCTCTAACTTTGGCGTGCCCATCGTCGACGGGTATAAATAATCCGATAGATGTGGAAAGCGAGGACGACGAGATGGGGGGGGGATGTGTTCGTAGGTAAGGAACAATTAAGCTACAGAAATAAATATCATGATATTTTAGATAGTAGATGCTAAATATAATCATAACTAATACATTGTTGGATGTATAGGTGATGGTCTAAGCAAGACAGATGAGGAGCACGTGGGGATGATGTTCAAAAACCGTGAAGCTTTCAAGCTACACATGGCCATGTACGCATTAAACAACAAATTCTGGTTCACCGTGAAGAAGTCAACACCAGCAGTCACGATTCTAGAGTGTGTGGGAAAAAGCTGCCCATGGAGAGTGTATGCGGTTAAGATGAGTGGTTCAGATTGGTATCAGATAAGAAGGGTGAGGGCGGACCATTACTGGTGTAGACAAGAGAGGAAAATTTCCAAAGACACGCTACGTCGAGCGTAATAGGTGATATGATGCGGGCTAGGTTTGCAGGGAGAGGGGCAGGGCCGAGGCCTAATGAGGTGAGGGAAACGATATGGGCTGACGATGATGTCCCAATTTTGTACTGGAAGGTAAACAGCTGATTATCCAAGTAATTTTGTGTGTAACATGTAACTATTATTGTTAGCTGGAAAATATTGTAATATAGGCTTGGCGTTCTCGTCAGGTTGCGATGGACTACGCTAAAGGGACAAACGGTGGGTCGTACAAATTGTTACCGGCTTATCTACAGCAACTAGTTATTAGTAACCCTGGTTCGATGGTGAACCTAGAGACCGAGATAGAAGAAGGAATGAGTCAATGTTTCAAGTATCTTTTCCTCGCCCTTGGGGCGTGTGTTTAGAGGTTCAAGTACATGCGTAGGGTGATTGTGGTCGATGGGATCCATTTAAAGGGAAACTATGCAGGCTGTTTACTAACCGCAAGTGGCCAAGATGGGAACTATCAGATTTATCCCCTGGCCTTCGCCGTCGTTGACGGCGAGAACAAAAAGTCATGGACCTGGTTTTTCCGAGAATCTGTTGAAGATAATACCAGATAGAGAGGACGTTGTGTTCATATCCGACAGGCATAATTCAATTTACGCAGGGTTAACCAAGGTGTGTTATTAAATTATAGCGAAGGAAATGAATTTGTATAGTTTACATGCCTTTGTGTGGCGTTAACATTAAAAATAACAACCTATACAGGTTTACCCGAGGGCTCGGCATGGGATATGCGTCGTCCACCTACAACGTAACGTGCAAGCCATTTTTAAGAAGAAACACTTGGGATATCTGATATCCAAGGCAGCTCGGGCTTTCCACGTGTCTGAATTCAACGAGCACTTGAACGAAATAGCTAGGGCTTGTGCTGAGTATCTTGCTGCGATTGGATTTGAACAGTGGACACAAGCACATTTCACTGGTGTGCGCTACAATCTTATGAAAAGCAACAATTCTGAGTCGTTGAATGCTACACTAGCTGAGGCTTGGAGTTATCCAATAATTCCCTTGTTGGAGCACATTAGAACAACCCTCATGAACTGGTTCAACGCAAGGAGGGAGAAAGCTAGCACTGAGGTTGGGATTGTGACAAAGAGGGTACAAGCAATTTTGAATGCAAACTTCGAGGTGCGAACAGGCTATGTCGTCAATCGAATCAACGAGAGTGAGTACGAGGTAACCGACAAAACATGAATGAGATTCCGGGTGGACCTGTGTAAGAGAACTTGCAGCTGTTGCGAGTTTCAACTGCTCTCCATTCCTTGTTCGCATGCTGTATCGGCGGGATTACGTTCAAAGAGATGCGTCGAACACTTGGTTGGAGATGAGTTGACAACCGCTTTCTGGAGAATGGCTTATTCAGAGAGCATCTACCCCGTTCCAGATTATCAATCGCCAAACAATGATGGCGATGTCATCGCCAACTTTGCACTCATG